TACTCCCAAAATTGCGTGAGATAATACGATCAAACCAAAAATTTTTTTTTGTTGCATTACTTATGATCGCCAGTGTAGTAAAAACACGGTTACTCAAGGTTTGTATCTTTCTGACTATAATATTTCAAATTATGAGTAATTTTACGTAAAAAATCAGTCGTTAAAAAGTAAGTCTCACGAGAATCAAGAATGTAAATGTTCAAGATTTTTATTATTTAAGATAGAATTTATTTTATATTTGATGCAAAGTCTTCCTTAACTGATAAGCAATGATACTTCTTTTTTATGATTAGTTTAGTTTTGAATTCACGAAATTATAATTAAATACGGTTGTAATGTAGAAAATGATCTTTATTGATCAAAAGATTTGGTTTTGTCTCCATAATTTTTATAAAGAAAAATCGCGCGGCGGCTTCGCAGCCCGGTTTTAATCAATAATTAGATATAGCATGCAGTGTAATATGATTTGAGAATTCTCTTATTTCATAATTAATGATAAAGACAATTTTTTAAAGGATTTCAAATTCACTCGTTTTTTAATGAAATCGATCTCAACGCATAAGACTAGTTCTTAATAGAACTGTGAAAAAAATTGGTAATATTTTTTATATAATTCTTGGCTCGCCCTACCTCTATTTATCCACGACTTCATTTCATTTATTTACTGGCTGAAACACAGTAAAGTTTTAAATCACTTGAACTGGTTGGGTTCATTCGGACCGAATCAGGTTTATTTGGACTAAAAAGTAGGTTTGTTTAATAGGTTTTATATGATTTTTCTAATTCAAACTAGAGATTGTATACGTGGGCAACTTCGCACCCAGTTTTAAATAATATGATATAACAGACGATACAACACTAATTATTTTACAAACCACAATAATACTTATAATTTATTAGCTTAATTTTAAATTAGTTCTATTATAATACACACACATTTAATATTTTGCTCTCTTTTTAGATCTTCTATGCTTGCGCGATGACGTCGCGTAGCTATCTACGGATGAATGTTTATGGCGCAGATTTACTGAATTACGAATCAGATTTCAAGATCAGGTGCAACGTAACACGATCAAGAAAATTCAAAACAAATGTTCGCTTCGCTTACTTCTCGAAATTCTACATAAGAAACCACTTTTGGTGCTCTAACAAAAAGTTTTCGTTGGGTAATTTTACTATACAAATTACTTTTCTCTAGCCCATAACACTAACCCTTACTCTAACATGACGAACTTTAAAGAATTTGTGCTGCGCCATAAACCTGGCACACATTCAAGTAATGCGTAAAATTTTGGGTGGTTTGGGGAGAAATTTATCAATTCCGGCCTATTCCGGCTATCTACAGTAGCTCAAAGATTTACATCACATGATTCGGAAAAATTGACCACGCCTGCCAAGTTTATCATAAATAAATAGTGCGCGATTGACAAACATTAAGATGAATAAAGCTATATAAAGAAACTACTTTATTTAGCACGAAATTTAATAAAAAGATGCATCTCTGTGTTCATCTCGCATCAATTGTCATTTTTTTAAGTGATTATATAAAGATAAAATAATAAAGTAACCGAGTAATTATTGATACAATATGCTATAACTTGATTCAAATGGGTGTCGACAAGCGAAAACAGGGAATTTGTGAGTTTTCCGAAATTAATTTTACAGATCAAACCCCGAAAAACACAATATTATTTATGTTGTGCTTAATTTAAATTTATCAGGAGTCGGATCAGAAGGCGGAGCCGGCAAAAACCGAAATTGCAGGTTTTCGCTTGTCGACACCCAGATAATACAATAATAAAATTTACATTAAATACAGTAAATACAGTAAATACAGCAAAGAAATGTTTATAATATCATTTTCCACCGCTTACTACAATGATAAATTAATATTAGTGATTGAAATTTTAATTGTATTAATTGAGCAAACGGAAATAAAACATTATAATACATACATAACATACATTTAGATAATTTTTGATCTATTTCTTCAATCCTTTTTGGACCATTTAGAAGAGCATCCAATTCAACATCATTTAATATCCTATTTAGATGCTTTTTTGCAGTTTCTTTCGTCTTTTCATCTTCAAAATCTAACATTTCCAAATAACCTTGAAGATTTCTTTCAGCGACTTTAACTCTAGTCGAACTAATTAATTTTTCCAAATTGCCTTTTTCTCTAGACAGTTCAACTATTTCTCTATTGTTCTTTTCTTGTTGAAGTTCTTTCCGAAGTTCATCAATTAAAATGTCTTTTTTCTTAAGATCTTCTTGCGCATTACTAAATTTTTCTTTATACTCTTGTATGTCGTTTTTAAGAGCATTTGAAAATTCATTTTCACGTTTGCTTTGCTCGTTTAGATTTTTGATTTCTTTCTTCGCTTCAGACAATTCATTCTTGATTACGTCAAATTCCTTTAATTGAGTTTCAATATCTCGAATGTTTTGTTTCAATGGAAGTATTACTTGTTGAGCCATTCCTCGGTATTTTTCGTCTTTAAATTGGCCGTATTTTAAATAAGCTTCTTTTAAATCTTTTTTATTTACTTCTAATTCATTTCTCTTATTCTCTATACTGATCAATTTATCTTCTAATTCTGAAACTCTAGTTTTCTTTTTGTTTAATTTTTCTTCGATTTCTTTCATTTTTCGATCAGACTCTTGCTTTTTCTGTTCTCTATCTTTTAATTCTTTTTTTATTTTATTTGCATTTTCCAACAATTTTTCACGTTCCAATTGTTTGCTAGCAATTGATTCTATATTTTTCCTATGATCTTCTAAATTAACTTCTAATTTCGCAATTTCTTGCTCCAAAGATTTTTTTGTTTCTAATCTTTCGTTAATATTTAACTCCAAAGATCTTCTTTTCTCTTCTAATTCGGATTTCAATTCATTGAACTCTTGCTCTAATACTTTTTTTCTTTCCTCAATATTTGATTCTAGATTATTTTTCTTTTTTTCCAACAATGTCAAATTAGTTTTTAAATTAATAATTTCTTGATTCAAACCTTCAGTAGCATTCTCAGCATGCAACCGTTCATCTTGTAAATCATTTATTTCAGTTTTCAATTGATCTTTTTCAGACTTTAATTCGTCTTTTTCACTATTTAATTTATTAACTTCATCTTTTAAAAGTAATAATTCAATAGTGGTTTGAGTAGTCAATATATCGATGAGTTTTTTATCATTAAGTAATTCTGGTAATTTATCTAGGTCAACACCTAATAAATCCCGTAGTCTAGCAGCTTCATCCTTTAATTTTGCGACTTCTTGTTTATACTTTTTTACTCTTTCATCATCGAAAAGTACTAATCTTAGACCATCATCAATTCTTGTAGGAATCCTTGGATCCAACTCGGTTCCCATTTTTTAATGTTAAATGTTTTTTAATAGTTAATAAAATATGTCGGGTGAATTTACAAAACTTATTGATTTTATTCAATAATGTTTTTTAATGATTGATAAAATATGTCGGGTGAATTTACAAAAATTATTGGTTTTATTCAATTGATATACAACTAATATAAATTAATCTTGTGAGAAATTAAATCATATACTGTATATATATTTTTTTGGCGATTGATTACCAAAAAAATTTTTTTTGTTTACAAAAAAAAAAGTTTTTTCTTATTTTTTTTGATTATAAAAAAAATTGAAGATACGAACTATTATTTATATTTTTAAAACCACTGCAGTGTTATCGTTATACAACAGAATATAAACTTTAATACGTATTACGTTACGATTAATGGGCTGTACGGAGATAAGCACCGAATAGATAGGTTCTAGAAATTCAGTCACTCAATGCTAAATTTATACAATTTAATAAAATGTCTAATTTGTCTATTTAAATAGTGGTCATGACGTTTCGAAATTCTATTTGTTCTTAAATTTTAAGATTAAAGTTAATACGTATGCACCTGGTCAAATTATTTGAATCTATTACATTGATGCAAAGTTATGTTCCATCCTTTTCATCTAGATAATAATTTGCATTCGGTGCAAACTCTATCTTAAAACCAGATTTTGAAATTGCCTCGATAGTTTATAAAATTTGATGTGATTTTCGCTATAACGCTAAATGGAAAACTAATTTGAAGTACCACTATAAAGCTAAATGGAAAGCTAAATGAAAAGGTAAATGAAAGTATCACTATAGAGCTAAATAGAAGTTAATTATTATGCGATGATAACCAAACCGAAATTCAATAGACATATTCAATTATAGTTATTAAAAAGAATTTTTTATATTTCTGTCGCAAAGCTGGAAGCATATGATTTAGCAAAATGCCCAAGCCTATATGATTTCCCTGATAAAGCATATACGATTTACCTGATAAAGCATATACGATTTCCCTGAAAAAGCATATTCTATGTTCATTCTACAGTCCTCTGTATGGTCGTTTATTTGTTTATTATTCAAAGTGAAACAACATCACACTTTTGTCTTTGTTTCAAGTTTTTATTTGTTTATTATTCCGAGTAAATCTCCACAATTTTATTGTTTTTATCTATAAATTCTTATTTGGTTATTATTCCAGGTGAAACAATGTCACTTTTCTTTGTACGTATCTTGATTAGGTAAAGTGCTGTCAGGGGCGGAAATATTAGTTCGATTTACTGTAAAGTGAAAATTCCTATTGAAGCAGACAGAAATTTCGATAAATTTCGGGCCTTCTGACCAATATTTTAAAATAAAAACCCTGAACGATTATTAAGCATTCAAAGAAAATCTAAATTTTTTTGGTTTCCCAAAAAATTAGCCTTCTCCTGATAACGTCTTTTTTTTTTATCAAACAGATTAGATTGAATCTTTAAATATTATATATTTTTTAAAAATTCACCTCACTAAAAATTTTTTTTTACCTATGCGAATTTTTTCAAAATGAAACATTTA